CTACCACTGGAACATATATCGTGGATCAATTTGACAATTTTTGTGCGTGTATCGTTAATAAAACATTAAAAACAAGCCGATTAAACCGGCGTTTATGTCGCAACCTGAGTGGCTTTAGAATGAGTGAAATTTCTACCACTGCAAAATTTTGGGTAGTGTTCTCCAAGCAAGTGCATTGAAGAGAATTTCGATACCTGTATGATCAATTAAAATTTCCAGAGAGCGACAGTGGCCATATGGTAAGTTTGTCAGGATTGTATCTAAGTTTGAGATAATTATATTATAATGTTTACCAGGGTTGCATATAAGATTCTTTTAAAATTAAAAACTTCTTATTTCTTACATTAATATAAGAAGATATACAGTAAGAAGAAATAAGATAAGAAGATTTGCCAACCCTGATGTTTACAGTGCATGATTGTTGGATTATTAAATTTGGTAAAGGATGATACTCTAGTAATTTTGTTCCGAATTTAAATGACCTCTAACTCAATTCGAGTAAACTTGGAAGTTAATAAAATATATCCGGCTGACCTTCATACCCTGTTATAATATTATAGGATTCAGAATTATACTCTAATTAAAACCTGTGGAGTGAGCAGGACAAGGAGCTAGAGATGGAATTCAGGGAAGAGGACAATCAATGAATTTTCAGGTGGATCTATCAACCACACCCAGAAAATGTTCCAGTTTAATACAAATGTGCCTGGCTATGGTTGTTTGCAATCAAAACATTCTGGACCTTTTCCATGCGTTACTGATATAGATCTCCCTATTAAAGGGAGGATCATTTTAGATATTAAAAAAAAACTTGGGGTACCTGGCACCTGTTAGTTAAATTGCAATGCACAATGCTTAAAACATATTTCACACAATCCATTCCTTGCTACAAACTACAAATTTTAATGAAACTCCTCAGCTATTATTAATTAATACAGGGTTAAATTGTATGGTAGTATCTTATTTCAGTAAGAAAATCCATCAAATATTAAAATATACCAACACAGCAGTTAATACATTGTTTTTTCGTTGACTTAAATTACTTGTTTATTCCTGATAGCCATAATAATTAGAACTCAACAGTGTTAAAACACTGAAGCAGCAGTGATCTACTTTATGGATACTAGTATGTGCGGTTTACTATTGTAAGACATACGTTTTCTTTTAGGTGGAATGCATTTCAGGTCTTATAAGTTCCACATACTCACAGTCATTGTTTCTAAATGCTAGACAATTCCTGGTCTATAGTATTTGGCTGATGGGTTTTAATCAGTCCTTTGATCAAAATGCAGGGACATGAGGATATGTTAGACTCAATTTTGCTTCGGTTGTAACTTGTATCACCAATCAGATTCCATCAATGATGCCCTTTATAACTGGACTTGACAACTGGTACCTAAAGAAGAATTCTAATTATCAATCTTATTCCAATATATAATTGAATAATATGATATAGGTATATTATTTTTATTCCTGTTTAACAGTCTTAAACATGATGTGTTCAAAAGTAGTAAATCAACAGGATGGAATTTCAAAAAAATATCAAAAGTAACTAATAGTTTTTCCACCAAATAAATGTAATATTTTACATAAACATTCAATAAATGTGACATCCAGACTGACCTGTGAGGCTGCGAAGCATTTATACGGAAAGTTTGTACGCCAGAAATACTTGTGAAGGCACCAATTACACCCTGTTTTTAATGAAGTTTATAATACCGGGTCTTTCTATGGTCTTTCACACAGTTCCGAACTGGAGACAAAATGCGCGCAAATAATATCGAGGATTCGAACGCCAGACAATTTGTTACACTTTAATCTCTATTTACGCTTGATTTTGAAATATTTCCTCGAAGCATATATTTGCGAAAATACACTTCAGACACATCTATTACACATATGAAAATTATTCATTGACTTTCATACTTTAGCACATGCGCAAACGCGAACGATAAGCCGCAAACACCTCGTATAATTATATGACCATAGGGCCATTTATAGGAGGAAAAATAAGTCACGAGTCGACTTATTTAATTAAGACGCGACTTAAGTAAGATGCGACCTCGTCGTATAAACGAACCAAAATGCTTGTTCGCGTGTTAGGTAAGACCCGTGCCATGTAAGTCGCGACTTAGATAAGAACAGAGATTTTACCTGTTCATATTTTAGACGCGTCTTAATTAAATTAAAAACGGCCGAAAAAGTCAGAAATCAGAATTGCTGAAATGTAAGCAAAGCTGACACCATAAAGAGATAAATTGCAGCAAAAAAAAGCGATACGTGGAGCGGCAACAACATTAAATACGGAAATAATAAGCGAAAAAATCATCTAACTATTTATACCAGCTCGCGTCTTATTTAAGTCGCGTCTTAAATAAGTCACGACTTATTTTACTTCGTATTTGGCCCTACCATAATATCCAGACTAACGAAATTTGAGTACTTTGAGTAATTTTCGGTTTGATTAAGAGTGATGACTAATGTTTAACCTAGTTCTTTATATTTTTACTACCATAAGTTAAATGTTTATGTAGGGACAAACGTCTGGTTGCTTAGAGGGCATGAAAATTAACTTTGCACTATCCTAGTTTATCTTGAAAAATGATGTGAAAATATAGTACAAGTCCTGATAGTTATTATCGTGACTAAACAAAATGTCCTCCCATATCTTACATGTATCAAAAATTATTACAGGAAAATGTCACAAGTTACCTTATTGTACGGTTAATCATTTCCTCTCTGTGAAGGATCGCTAAGTACACTCGTTCGCTGCACTGATTCGTAACTAAATAAATTTACGTACATATGTAATCCCACCCAAAAAGTGGAACTGACTGGGATAAGAAACTTTCTGATTTGATGAAAGAGCTAGCGCAAGAATACCTGATGATTTTGATGAGTAACTAAGAGAACTAAGAATTGGATGAGGATGTGAAGACGTATATACCAGCAAATTGCCAACAAATTCATTGCAAATTTGACTCTAAATTTTTGGGTGATGTTACGAATTATTCGTAACTTTGTGGGACTATCAAAAATGCAGTTTATAACAACAAAGAACTTACAAACAACTTTACAAGTTCAATTACTAATTTCGTTTTTGGGCATTCGCAAAATTAAATGGCTAGCCATAACACAGAAATAATCGCCGCGAACGCCTGAGTCTTGATAAAATCGCAGCACACGCGCACGCATGTATTGGAAACTTGTAGGGATGACTTTATGGGGACCTGAGTGTGTATACAGTAAGTCCTCACAGTGTAATAGTTCTTGAACAAGTCTTGATGTGTTGAAAACTTGTACCAATGACTTTATGGGGACCTGAGTGTACAGTAAGTCCTCACAGTGTGAAAATTCTTGCACAAGTCCTGATGTGTTGAAAACTTGTAGGGATGACTTTATGGGGACCTGAGTGTACAGTAAGTCCTCGCAATGTGAAAGTTCCTGAACAAGTCCTGATGTGTTGAAAACTTGTAGCAATGACTTTATGGGGACCTGAGTGTACAGTAAGTCCTCACAGTGTGAAAATTCTTGCACAAGTCCTGATGTGTTGAAACTTGTAGGGATGACTTTATGGGGACCTGAGTGTACAGTAAGTCCTCACAGTGTAAAAGTTCTTGCACAAGTCCTGATGTGTTGAAAACTTGTAGGGATGACGTGAGTGAAAATATAAGCCGCTATAATTAACAAACTGTTGTGAAGAGGCAATTTACCTATCTTCACCAAACTTTTCTTACAATTTGCAATGCAATTCTACTCCCGCGGCATCTAATGTTGTCAAATACGAACATTTATTACGACCTGCTAACTTTTTTAAAATTTCGAACACTCGCTACAATCTAACATCCCTCAAAACTATAATTGCACTAAGAGTTGCAAGAAAATTGCATAGTGTAACAGTGACAAAGTAGATTTTGTTAAATGTTAACAAAAATTGTAATAAACTTACCACATGCATCATTAAAAAACTCTCAGTCAAAGTTTGCTTAATAGTGATCTTTTAAATGGGTCAATGTAACAAAGGTCAAAAGGATTTCTCACATGTTCCATCCTAAAAATATATTGCAGGGAAAAAGATGTTAGGGTAAAATAGATACTATTTCATCTTAAATAGCAAATATATTACCTATGCTGTGTTTATAAATTTAAGTGTCACTATAAAAAGATATAAATAACTAAGAGTTAAAGACACAGACAGGAAAAAAAACTTACCAAAATGATTTGCTGTAAAAGTATACGAATGTGCTGTGAAACAGTCGGTCTAAGAAACAGAGAATTGTGTTAAGTGATTATATTATCCATAGGAAAAACAAATATGTCCATGTCAGAAACTTGTATGGCCACGTACTTCGCTTGTCATACAGCCAAAATAAGAATATGCTTGCATTTTGTATTTAAAAGTCATTTAAAGCACAGTAGCAGCAATGGGAGGGACTCTGTCGCACTTAAAACTTTACCGTGTCTTTTAAAACGAATCTCTCAAGAATTTTGATAGGCAGACTATTTACAAGTGACTAAGGTGCGTAGGCACGAGATTACACCCTTTCAAGATATAAGGGTTAAGAATTATATAACCTAAGGATCCAAAGATCCAAAGTTTCAGTGCCCTCCCAATGCATTAATGAGCCAACATGACGTCTCTCGCAAAATAATTTTAACTTCTGCTCATGCAACTCGCAGTATACAGTACTCAAAGAACTTAAATAATGTTCCCTGCAATATCCCATTGCATTATTGAATTCTACAGTATTTTAAGTTGCTCATGCGTTGCGCATTGCATATTTTTTCTTTGTCTTCTTTTGTATTTTTTTTGTGTCTAAAGGTCTATTGCACAGTGCCCCGTGTGGTGCATTGGATTTAAACGAAAGAATTAAAATCGTCAAAAAAGGGAATACATTTCTAGTAAAATGGTGCATGGAAGAACACGAAGAAACGTTCAAAAGATGCCAGCAATTCGGTTTAGAAACATCATGGAGTTAAAATAAAGTTACAGATAAAAAAATTGGTCGCAAACGGGGACGACTAAGCAATAGACAATTTATGCACTGAACCGACCATCATTTGATTCAGAACAAACAATCAAGGGGTGACAGAATTTGAACACTAATTAATATCCTAGGAATCCAAAGCATAAGAGTAAAATAGATATTATTCCATCTTAAATAGCAAATATATTGCCTATGCTGTGTTTATAAAGTGTCACAATAAAAAGAAAAAAATAACTAAGCGTTAAAGACACAGACAGGAAAAATAACTTACCAAAATGATTTGCTGTAAAAGTATACGAATCTGCTGTGAAACAGTCAGTCTAAGAAACAGAGAATTGTGTTAAGTGATTATATTATCCATAGGAAAAACAAATATGTCCATGTCAGAAACTTGCATGGCCACGTACTTGGCTTGTCATATAGCCAAAATAAGAATATGATTGTGATTGTGATTATTATTAAAATACTTGAATGGCAGTTCAAAAACGAACTGAAAAACACAAGTTTACAAGTATCAGAAATAAGACTATTTACATATTTACAGTGATAAAATACTCAGAAATACAATTACTAACATGTTAATACCATAACTACAAAAAGATATGCTAACATTAGGTTCTAAAATATTAAAATATTAAAATGAGTTCCATTTACGTATGCAATACGGCAAAAAGCTATCATTATAGCGTTTCGTTCGACATTTAAAAAGAGAGATCGATCGAGGATGTCTGAGATCGTACTCATGGGTTAAAAGTTTGGGTAATAGACTAGAAATTTTACCCGAAGGGTCATTATAATTATTTTTATAAAAGGTTCTGCATAACCGTTCCCTTCTCGCTTCTAAGGTAGGTAAATTCAGGTCTTTAAGGCTTTCGGTGTAGGACAAATGGGGAAAAATAATTTTGAACGCACGTTGCTGAATATGTTCCAATTCAACGGTGAGGAAATTAGGTAGTGAGGTATGCCAAACTGGACATGCATATTCCAGGACAGGTCTGATGAAACTACAATATACCGCCTTAAGATCACTAGGTTGGACACCATTTCTTCTTAATAGCCTTAAGGCATACAGGCGTTTGCTTGCTTTAGAGGATATGTGCCTGATGTGTGTGGTCCACTTGAGATCGGAGGTTAAATTTACTCCCAGGAGTTTGATAGAGTTCACAGCCTCCAGAGGTAGGTTATTGACAAGCAAGGGTTGTGCCGGGGGTTGATTGATCAAGAAGGACACGGTGAAATCTTTAGTTTTTTTACGTTTAATTTCATGTTGTTCACATTCGACCACTGAGACACCTTATCGAGTTCTTGCTGTAATTTTGGAAAAGCCGGTTCACATACTCTAACAACTTCAGAAATAGCACAATCATCAACGTACTTGTACAGTGGTAGTTCACTGGATAGATCATTGACCATTATAAGAAAGAACAAAGGCCCCAATTTTGTGCCTTGCGGAACTCCAGCATTGATTTCTTTCCAATCAGATTTACAAGATTTTAATTTAACGCGCTGTTGTCTGCCTTGAAGGAAACTTGAACACCAGTTTAATAACACGGGTGGAACGTTGAGGAGTTGTAATTTGCGCATTAGAATGTTATGGTCAATTCGATCAAACGCTTTGGAAAAATCAATAAAGCAGGATCGAATAATGGTATTAGGTGTTTCCAGGGCCGAAAGCCAATGGTGGATTAGGTGCACGAGGGCGTGAGTCGTTGAGGACTTTTTCACACAGCCAAACTGGAGGGGATCAATGAATGGCATAACAAAGGGTGCAAGCCAATTGAACACGAAAGACTCAAGGATCTTGCTCAGTACTGCCGTGAGGGATATAGGTCTAAGGTCCGTATCAATAGATTTCGGTGTAGGGATCTTGCTTAAAGGGAGAACATCCGCGCATTTCCACAGATCAGGTACACGACCTTCTCTAATGGAAGAGTTAAACATGGAGCATACAGGGTAGCTAATATTTGCGGCACATGTTTTCAGGATCCAATTGGGGATCTCATCAGGTCCTACAGACTTACGATCGTTAACACCTGCCAATGCAAGTTCAACAGCATCACACGTAATGACGTATCTATCAGGAACATTGGAAACGGGTACTGGAGTGAAATTTAAATGCGGTATATCAGCAGCAGCACTGCAGAAGGATTCATTAATGACGGTGGCAAGTTCAAAGTCTCTCAAGACGGTGCCGTTTATGGCTAGGCTATTAAACGGAGGGGGGTTGGACATTCCTGACAACTGCTTGATACCGTCCCACCACTTTTTAGGATTGCTCTGGTTCATGTGATTGATTTTGTCGTTATAGAATCTTCGACGTGCACTTTTACAGAGTTTTATCACTTTATTGCGATAAACATTAAATTTGGGAAGGTCATTATTCAACCAAGCTTGTTGACGTTTCTTAATGGATTCTTTAATAGCGGGAGTAATCCATGGTTTATCGTTGGGATGGAGTTTAACAGTACGCATGGGAATACATGAATTCAAAGCACCATGAACCACAGACTGGAACAAATCCAGTTGATCGTCACATGAATTTAGCCTCATGAGCGGTGTCCAATTGACCGAGTCCAGGCAGGATATCAAGTTTCGTTTGTTGGAAACACGATAATCACGCTTTTGGAGTCGTGTGGTGGGTATGCTTGGAGCATGTGGTGAAGTGGGTTGAAGTAATATGCTAGAATGATCAGATTGGCCAATAGGTGGCAGGATGGTAGCATCGTAGTAAGCCGATAAAGTTGAAAATGCTTGATCAAGGATATTACTTCCCCTGGTAGGCTTGGTGACCAGAGTTTTCAATCTAAAGGAATTGCACAGATTTCCTGGCTTAAATTGGTTAAAATCTCCGAGAACCAGGACAGCGGAATTAGGATAGTTGGCCAGTGAGGAATCTAAACATTTGAAGATATGCGTTCGAAGCGCGTGGTCATCGCTTTGGGGGGGTGATAAACTGTTCCCAGGATAATGGAGTTTATTCCTCGGGGTAATCGATCCATTTTGATTAAAAACCATTGACTCTCAATTTCAGGATCGCCTAAGTCAGTTAATTCGGTAAAATTAAGGTTTGAGTTAAAATAGGAACAAAGACCACATTTGCATTTTGTATTTAAAAGTCATCTAAAGCACAG